CTTGTCTTCCGGCCCCCCCTGACGGCGAAGGCCGCTGGGGGGACGGGGAGAGAGAGCAGCGTTTAGTACCGACGCCAGTGCCCGCAGCTTCGAGGCTTCGAGTGAGGAGGAAGGAGGTGGAGGGGAGGAGGACCGCCCGCCACCAGCTGGCCTGTGCAGGCCAGGGCCGGGCCGTCTCGCCTGGCGAGCGCCTCTGCACCCGCGAGCAGCCCGGCCGACCGCCCCCGCCGTCCAGCGGCGTCGGCGCTCCCCGCACGAGCCGACGGCCACGTCTGCTCAGCTCGTGCGCCACTGTCCCCCGCAGCACTCGGCCGGCGGCAGCCTCGGAGCCCCTCGCGGGCGCTCTGCACCTCGGCGTGGCCCGGGCGCACTCCCACCGGCGCTGCGGCGGGCGCCCCCGTTCGCGGCAGCGCGGGCGCGGCGCTGGCGCCGGCGGAGTCGTTGCAGAGCGGATCGCGGCCTGGCTCGGCGAGGCGCGCCAGGGCCCCGTCCTCTTCGGAGGCCTCTGGCACCTGGTGCGATGTGCCCGCCCTGGCCGGGGCGCCACCCGAACCCACGGGGGGAGGGGGGAGTGCGGACTGCTGGCGAGGCGTCTCTGCGCAGGCACAGCTCTGGAGCTCGGGCGGCTCACAGCTCCTGTGCCTATGACTGGTGCACAGGCTCTTCGAGGCCAGGCGGGGTCCTTGCCACGGCGCCTCTGGCCTTCGACGCCATAGCACGTGACAGTGCATGTGTCTGCGGACTCGGCAGCGCCGCAGCCAGCTCAAAGCTTGAGCGTGGCACTCTTGACAGGGAAACCAACCGCGTGCATCGCGGACTCCACTTGCAGCGTGCAGCCTCCCGGGGCGCCCGCCGGCGCGAGGCCCGCCCTGCCGAGACTCGCAGGGCTGTCTGGCCGCTGGCTGGTGAGCAGGCCCACCGCCCTTCTGCGCCACCGCTGCCGCACGAGAGACGCGGGCCCCTGCCACGCTGCCGCGGGTGGAGCTCCCGGCCCGGCCAGACCCCTGAGCCTCGCGTGCAGGCCAGCGCCGTTGGCCTTAGGCCACTCATGGTGTTGCCCCCCGGCCACCGCCTTCTTCACGAAGGACAGGTGGCTTGTCACGATCGTGGTCGGCGGCACGGCCGCCGCCAGCGCCTGGACGACCAGGCAACGCTCGGGGTAGGGCTGCATCTGCTCCCGTCCTGGCCTCGCCCCCACACTGGGCGCGGATCGGCCGTCATCGTCGAGCTCAGCGATGGCCCAACCTTCGGACGCAGCCGCTGTCCGTTCGGTGTACATCCTGCCAGTTGACGGCTGCCAGTTCGACATACAACGTGGTGTTCGACAATGTGACGTGATCAGCCCCATGATGTTCAACGCTGCGTTGGAATCAGTCCTGCGGCGGTGGAAGGCTCGGCTACGAAATTGCGGTCTCCTGCTCAGTTCGGAACATGAGCGATTGACCAACATACAATATGCAGACGACTTCTTGCTGTTCGCCCGATCTCTGGAAGATGCGAATGTATGCTCGATTGTCTCGTAAAGGAACTGAACGCAGCTGGCCTGTCCGTGAATGCGCGAAAGACGAAAGTATTGACAACAGATCCAGACGTTGCAGCAGACGGTCCCCGGCTGTTTGTTGATGCTGGGGGTGGGATGATCGAGGTATTCAAACATGTGAGCACGCACAAAAACCTTGGCCAGCTATTGAGTGGTAACTTGAGGACTCGAGGCAAGTGCAATCTCGAACATAGGATGAAGTACGCTTGGCTGAAGTACCACAAATTCGCAGCGACGCTTAAGAAGCGCAACATTTAAGTCAAATTGTGGTTGCGACTGTTCGACGCCGTTGTGTCGCCAGCGTCTCACTTCAGTCTGGCCACAACTCCTCTCACTCAGAAAGACCTTGACAAGCTGGACGCGCTGCAGAGGGAAATACTGAGGCCCATTGTTGGACGGGTTAGATGTGAAGACGAGACATGGCAGGGTACTGGCCATCGAGAGAAAGACCGTCTGGAAGCGGCGTCGCTGCTACATCCATCCCATCACAGATTGGAGCGTCTGGCGAAATATACACAGGGACTTGCGTGAGCAACAAATCTAGCATGGATCTTTACCACGATGGTGTTCTCTGTCGTATGCCTGGCTACCTTCTCGAGTGCGACATCGTGGGCGACCGCTTTAACGGTGGACCGACTGAGCCAGCGCATGCCACTGCGAAGCTCTCTTCGCCGACGAGATCTGAGGGTGCTGCTTCCCCCTCTCCTCCTCTTTGGAACCAAGATATGTCCGTCAGTAATGAGCCTGCTGCCTGGGTGCCGGAGGCACAGGCCCATTTTCGGTAGAGTTCTAGATTGGCACGGCCTTCGGGTCGATCGGGAGTAGCGGAGCATAGCCTGCGCTCCCAGACGGGATCCCCCTCCACTTGATCACAGTGGGCCTCGGCGGCGGCGAGGGCCAGCGCGACGGCGCCGTCGAGCGCGACGCACGCGCCCCCAGCAAACCTCGGGCCGTCTCCGCCTGCGAGGGAGGGGACGGTACCTGTCGCCGCATCTGCCCCACACACACTCTCGGCTTCTGGACGCCGTCGCATTACTGCAGCTGCTGATTCGACCACTGGCTTCTGGCCGCCGTCGTCAGCTTCTGCCATCGCGCTGCTGGTTCTGCCTCGAAGTGTTCCGAACTCCTGGCCGCCGCTGCGACGCTGCACGTGGTGCGTCCACCCCTGCAACTTTCGGTGCCTGGCCGCCGCGGCAGGTTTGGCAACGCCTCAGGCATTGACCAGCAGACCCTCTGGGGTGGCTGCGACCACCAGGCCGGCCGTCGGATGCGGACGGCACCGGCGGGGGATCCGTCCGGCCGGAGCGCAGAGAACAGCGCTGCCGAGAGCAGTCGCTCCCCGGAGCCCGCACAGGCGGGCAGGGAGGGCGTCACCTCGTGCCGGGCCGGCGGCGCCACGCGAGCCCCTCCCGCAGGGCGGGCCTGGCGGGTATCCGAGGCTCGGGCGCCCACGGGAGCCAGGCCCGCGCCAAGCGGCAGCCCCGCTTTCCCACGCCTCTGGCACGGAGCGACGGCCCGCCCCCCGCTCGCGCACCTCCAGGCTCGCCGGTACCGCACTGGACGCAGAAGGACATGCTCGGCGGCGAGCGAGGGGGGGGGGGGGATGAGAAGGAGTAGACCCTCTCAAAGGCGGCGGGGCTTCTCAAAGGCATCTGGCCTTCCGAGAAGGTTCTGTGTCTTCGGGGGAGGCTCAGAAGACTTCTCAGAAGGCCCGGGAGCATCCGAGCCTTCTGAGAGAAGGCCTGCCCACTCTCACCTCCCCCCCCAGGGCTGGCTGGACATGCTGGCATTGCGCGCTGCTGTTGGAGGCGCACGTCTGGCACGGGCATGCAGTGCACACGAGTCTCACGGTACGTCGTCTGCCGAGCGGCGTGGCCAGAAAAAGCGCCCGCCACGGAGCCTATACTGCAAAAAAATCTGAGCGTGCGCGCCGCCCCTGCGGGGCCGACGCACACGTGGTATACGGGTACGCCTGGGCGGTGCCGACCGCCAGGCGCACGGCGTGGGGCGGCGCGAGCTCGCCAGGGACGCTCAGCACGCCCCGCCCAGGCGGCCGCGGCCCCGGAGCTCGCCGCTGCCGCCGCGCGCGCCGGGAGAAGAGCGCCCTCCACGGGAGGCAGGCGACGGCCGTGTCGCACTCGTGCCACGGGCCGCCCCCGCGACGCCTCGCGGAGCCTCGTGGACGGGTGGGCGGACAGACGGCTGCTGCCGCGCGCGCCAGGGCGCGGTGGGGCCGCGGCCCCCGTGCCGGAATCCCAGAAAACCGCGTGCGGGCGGACCGGGCGGTGACCTCGGACTCCCCAACGACCTCAGCGCGCGGGCCGTCACCGCACGGTCTTGGGATCCTGCAGGCTCTGGTCGCCCGAGACGTCCTCGGAGGACGACCCGAGTCCCAAAACGGTGCGGGGATACCGAATCCCCACCAACTCACCCCGCGGCGTGGTCACCGCACCGATTGGGGGCCCCTGAATGCTGACTTGGCCACCTTGCGCGGGCTCGAGCACTCCTCGGCCCTGGTCTGCTCACCCCGCAGAAGCGGCCTCCTCGGAGCACCACCTGCCAAAGGCTGCAGCCTCCTCCTCCTACTCGCGGCGCATCACCGGCAGTCTTGGAGAAATCAAAGAGTACCGATACCGCTACTCCCCGGAGCTCTGGGGGGGTGCGTTGACACCAGAATTTCGTCGCGAATCCAGCGGTGGCGACGAGGGCCTCCCAGGAGGCCAAAATGGAGAAAACAAGGCAAGGGTACTGGTATCGCTACCTTTCCCTCCTCTGAAGTCTGGGGTAGTCGTAAGTCGGGAATGTCCCCCTACAGGGGGATTTTCGACGAAAAACAAAAAATACCCAAAAACAAATTCGCCGGCCCAACGGGCCAGGGCGTGCTAAGATCTCCGGTACCTGGTTAACAGTATTTCTAGTTCGCGCGCGCGGGGCGGCCCCTGGGGGTCCCCGGGCGAAAAGTACCCCGGCAAGGTCCCGGCAAGTCCCCGGCAAGTCCCCGGCAAGGTCGGGTCAGAGATGCCGGATTCTGTTTCGGAGTCCAAGAGGGCTCGAGATCGGTCCAAGAGGGCCCCGAGAAGCTTTCTAGACGGTCCAAGAGAGGCCCGAGACGGCCAAAGATCGCCCGAAGACGCCCCAGATGGCCCCAAGACAGCCCAAGAGGCCTCCAAGACGCTCCAAGGGCCTTCCAAGAGGCCTTCGAAGAGGGCCCCAAGTTGCCAAAATCGTTGATTTTCGTTGGTTTTTTCTATGTTTTTTTGCGTTCTGGCCTTTTCGCTTCTGGACGCTCCAAGAGGGCCCAAGAGGCCTTCAAGACTGCTCCAAGACGGCCCACGAGGCTCCCAAGACGGCCCCGGAGCGGCCCAAGAGCGCCCCCCAGACGGCCCAAGTGCTGCCCAAGGCGGACCAAGAGGCCCCAAGACGGGCCCAAGAGGGGCTCAAGAAGGGAACCGAGAACTGAAAAATCGAGCCCTCCGCCCCAGAAGGCGCCCAGGACCCCGAAAGAGGCCCCAAGAGACTCTCCAAGACACCCCCAAGACGCCCCAATAAGCTCCCGTGAGGCCCCAAGAGGACCAACAACGTCAGGCCCCAGGCCCCAAGAGGACCAACAAATACCGCCAAGAGCCCGCCGAAAGCCCCCCAAGAGACCGTCACGAGAGCTCAGGAGGCCCCCTGGAGGCCTCCCGAGTTCTCCAAGAGGCCTAAAAAGAGGCGCCAAGAGGCCCCAAACGGCCCCACCGAGGCTCGAAGAGGCCACGAACGCGCAAGCAAACGCCTGCGATGGCACAATACGGGCCGGCGGAATGAGCGAAGCGATTAAATTCCAGAATGGTCAAAAAATGCTTTAAAAAAATCCAAAAACATTATTTGACTATTTTTGAATATTCGTTCTGTAGAGGGGCAAGCCCGACTTAAGGGTAGTCTGCAGCCCCCCTCTCGCAGCAGGTCTGCGGGGGGCACGATCACTACAGGCCACTCTGCCCTGAGCGACCGGTTCCTGCTGCCGTGGGCCAAGGGCCGGGGCACGCAGCAATGCCACGGTGCAAGCTCGCCTGTGCCTCGCTCAGCGCCTTCGAGCTCGGGCTCCTCCACCTCCTCCTCCTCCTCCTCCTCCTCCTCCTCCTTCCTCCTCCTCCTCCCCCTCCTCCTCCCCCCCCTCCTCCTCCTCCTCCTCCTCCTCCTCCTCCTCCTCCTCCTCCTCCTCCTCCTCCTCATCTCGGAGATCCTGCGGCGGGACCTGAAGCACCGAGAAGAGGTGTCCCTCCGCTGCAGTCGCGAAGCGGGGTAGGGCTCGCCAACTCCTGGTCGATCCCGGCCAGTCTAGGGCGAGATTGGCCGCCGCAGCAGGGCCTGTGCACAGCCCCCAGCTCGAGCTCGCCGCCACGAATGGCAGAGCTGGCTGTCTGGCATCCGCCCACGAATTACAGAGCTGGCCTCCTGATATGCGTCCGTTCCACTGCCACCCCGGGCAGCGCTCCACTGGGTCGGCCGTCCCGTCGAGCATCGGTTCCAGGGAGGATGGGGGCGGAGAGAGCGGAGAGCTGCGATCTCTCACACCCCGAACACCAGGCCTCGCGAGGGGCCACGCGGTACGGTCGGACAAAGGACAGAAGAACATCCTTCAAGAGCATGAGACCCTCCGCCAGCCAAAACACCCCAAACCCGTCCCAGGATTCACAGGAGCTCGCAACAAGCACGAAGAGCATCAAGGTACTCCCAGTTCCGTAAGAAAGTGGGGAGGTCTGATTTTGGGAGGGATCTGATTTGAGCTGTCTTGGAAGGTTCGCGGGGCTCTGGACGAAAGGCCGCCCTTTCACGGCTGGTTTGGGGGGGGCTGAAACGGCCCGTCTGGCGGGTAGCAGACCCCCCATCCTTTTTTTCGGAATCGAGAGGACCATCCCCGAACCGACCTCGATCTTATACCTCGGTCCGACCGTGGGGATGGAGGGAGGCGGGCGAAGGCTGTGAATCTGGAGCGCGGTGCGGTGCCGAGCACGGACGGCGGTTGGGAGGGCCGCGAGGAGGAGGGCAGGCAGCGGCAGCTGCAAGGAGGAGCAGATGGTTTTAGGCACGAGCTCGAGGGCAGGAGAGGTGGGGGCGCGAGGGAGGACGAGTCGGCATTTGTGTGTCGCGGCGCAAGATCAAGCCTGGGCCCTTCCCCCCCTTCTTCGGCGACCAGGTGCAGTCTTCGCGCGGCAGGGCAGGCACAGGACAGGGGCACGCAGAATGAAACGCCTGCAAGCACGGGAGGACGAGGAGGCCAGAAATGAAGAGGCCCAGGGACACACAATAATACATACACACAAATCCCAGGATTACCCATGTTTTCTTCTCTGTATATGTAAAACTTAAAAATAAACATACATATATACATATATACATACATACATACATACATACATACATACATACATACATACATACATACATACATACATACATACATACATACATACATACATACATACATACATACATACATACATACATACATACATACATACATACATACATACATACATACATACATACATACATACATACATACATACATACATACATACATACATACATACATACATATATACATACATGTTTGTATACATATATATAGAATAAATAAATAAATAAATAACTAAATAAATAAATAAATTATGGGTTTTCGTCATCCCCCCACCTCCCATAGTTTCCCACATGTTCCTGGCAATCGACGGCTACTCGTGTCCGTATTTTTTTCTCCCTCCTGACGAGAGGGCCGAGGGCGATGAGGATCGAGGGCGTGTTGCGCTTGGGCACCCTCTCGGGTCTCGGGCCTCTGGAGTGATCTGGAGGCCTCCTCTGGAAGACCTCTGGAGGCCTCCAGGGACCTCTGGAGGCCTCTGGGGACCTCCGTGGACCTCTCCGGGGACCACTGGGGACTAATGGGCAGCAGGAGAGAGGGACAAGCTAGGTGCGCTCGC